CGTATAGCCCTGGTCTGTCCACTTGCTGTACAGAGGTAACTCATGGTTTCCATGAAGCTGAACTCTGTGACACTGATGTGTCAAATATAAGAATGGTTACCCATGGTGGACAGTGTTTGGTGGAGTTCCCCAATTAAAACAAGCTTGGAAGCAGGAGTGGCACCCACTTCAGAAATAGCTTGCCTCTGGAAACCCTATGAACCTGGAGAAAGGATGAAAGTTATACACGTGTCCAGGTCTTTCGTTCACAGGGTCTCTATGAGTCACCTATGACTCAATGGCACTTAACAACAACAACATCATTAATATCAAACACAAGTAAAATTTTGCTGAAGATTATCCAAAACTGGCTATAACAGTACATCTCCAGGGAAATGCCAGAAATTCAAGCTGGATTTAGAAGAGCCCAAAGCACAAAGCACAAGGAATATCTTTGCTGATGTCAGATTCATTTTGACTAAAACCAGAAACTATCAGAAAAATGTTTACTGTGTTTTACTGACTATATAAAGACAATTGACTGTGTGGATCATAACAAATTATAGCTACCACTGAGGAGAATAAGAATCCCAGAACATTCAATTGCACTCATGTGAAATCTGCATATAGACCAAGAAACAGTAGTCCAACTAGAACAAGGAAACACTGCTGTTGTTGTTGTTGTTATGTGCCGTCGAGTCGCTTGCGACTCATAGCGACCCTATGTACAACAGCCCTAAACTCCGCTCTGTCCTGTGCCAATCGCACTGTCTCTGACTCCCATCCCAATTATCCCAGTCACTGAATCAATCCACCTCATAGAGGGCCTTCCCCTCCTGCGCTGTCCCTCCACACTCCCAAGCATGATGTCCCTCTCTAAGGACCGATTTCTCCTCACAACATGTCCAAAGTATGTTAGATGGAGACTCAGAATCCTTGCCTCCAAGGAGCCACCCGGATTAACCCTTTCAAGGACAAATCTGCTTGTTTTCCTAGCAGTCCATGGTATTCTCAATACTCTTCTCCAGCACCACAGCTCAAAGGCATCAATTCTCCTTCTATCCTCCCTGGTCATTGTCCAACTCTCTGATGCATAACAAGTGATTGCGAAGACCATAGCCTATATCAGACGCACCTTAGTCTCCAGAGAGACACCATTGTTCTTCAGTACTTTGGAGAGGTCCCTAACAGCAGACTTTCCCATGGCAATGTGCCTTTTAATTTCCTGGTTGCTGGTGCCAAGACTGTTGACTGTGGAGCCAAGCAAACTAAAGCTGTGGACAACCTCAATCTCTTCACCATCCATCCTGATGCTGCCAATTGGTCCAGTGGTGAGAATCTTTGTCTTCTTGACACTGAGCCTCAATCCATATTGTAGGCTGCAGTCCTTGACACTCTGCAGCAGGCGCTTCAGGTCCTCTTCATTTTCAGCAAGCAGGGTTGTGTCATCCGCATAACGCAGGTTGTTGATAAATCGTCCACCAATCTTGACCCCACATTTCTCCTCATAGAAACACTACACAATTTAAAATCAAGAAAAATGTGTGTCAGGGTTGTATCCTTTCTCCATACCTTTCCAATCTGTATGCTGATATTTGAGAAGGTGGATTCTATGAAGAAGAATGTTGTGTCCAGAGTAGAAGGAGGCTCATTAACAATCTGTGTTAGGTAGATGACAACCTTGCTTGCAGAATGTGAAGAAGACTTCATGCACTTACTGTGAAAGATCAAAGACTATAGTCTTCAAATGGTTTACATCTAAATATCAAGAAAACAAAAATCCTTATCATTGGACTAATAGTAACATTATAATAGATGGAGAAAAGATTAAAGTTGTCAATTATTTCATTTTACTTGGATCTACAGTCAATAATTGTTGTTGTGTACTGTAGAGTTGGAAATGACCCATAGCTGACCTTCTGACAGGTTTTCAGAGGCAGTTAATCACATGGGAGGAGATGGCCCATCCTTCTCCCACGGAGCAGCTGGTGGCCTCAAATCACGTACCTTCAGGATTGCAGCACAGCTTCTCACTGGTCATCAGAGTGCCTCATAGTATATTGTTGTTGATTGCCGTCAAGTGGCCCATGACTCATAGTAACTCCATGAACAAAACACCTGAAGCCTTTCTATAACTATTGTTTCTCCAAGTTCTTAGAGTTTCCGGAAGCATGTGGTGTAGGAAGTGGCTATCACTCCTGCTTCCAAACCTGTCTTAAAACCTGGGAGCTCCACCAAACACTGTTGATCCTGGGCAGCCATTATGACATTTGAGACCCCAGTGGTACTAGGTTCAGCATCACAGCAAACCACGATTACCTCAGTGCAGCAAATTGACAGAGGAATGCTATCAATGAATGTTCCTCATGGTATGTTGTTGTTGTTTGATGCCGTCAAATTGTAGATGACTCATAGCGACCCTATGAACGAACGGCCTGAGCACTGTTCCTACATAGAGTTTCTGGAGGCAAGCCATTTCAGAAGTGGATGCTGCTCCTGCTTCCAGGCTTGATTTAGTCAGGAAGCTCCAGCCAACACTGTCCACCACGGGTGCCCATTACCACAATTGGCACATCACTGTCACAGTCTTCAGCATCACAGCAACCACGAGTTACCTCTGTACAGCAACACACAGACCAGTGCTATACCACCTAGAAGAATGTTTGACAGGAAAACAATTTGAAGCTGGCCGAGGGCCACAGATGAAAATCACCCACCTTTGGCTTGGTAGCATAGCTTCCTTTCCACTAGGCCAATGTAGCTCTCTCTTGGTCATCGTCATTGTTATTGTTGTTTGATGCCGTCGAGTCATAGACGACCCTACGAATGAACAGCCTGAGCACTGTTCGTACATAGAGTTTCCAGAGGCAAGTCATCTCGGAAATGGATGCCGCTTCTGCTTCCAGGCTTGATTTAGTCGGGAAGCTCCAGCCAACACTGTCCACCATTCTCATGGTATAGCAATCAATAAATGAAAAGGCGGTGGGGAAACCTTCTGTCAAGGACCTATCAAAGCACTAAAGAGCAAGGATGTTGGTGTGATGTCTTAGCAACAACTAAGGTGCTCTTGATACAAGTCAGGGTACTATTATGTCACATGTGCCTGAAAGTTAGACAATTAAGGGACAGCAATGGAAAAATTGGCGTCTTTGAACTGTGATTGGTGAAGAATATTCAATATAGCACAGCCTTCCAAAGAACAAACAAATCTGTCTTGAAGAAAGTACATCCAGAGTGGTTCTTAGAGGCAAGACTGGTGAAACTTCATCTCACTTCCTTTGGGCATGTTTTCAGGAGAAACTAGTCTTTGGAGAAAGGCATCATGCTGGCAAAGGGAGAGGGTCTGAGACAGAGGACGCTCAGCCGTGAGCAGACTGACACAGTGGTTGAACCAATGGGTGTAAGCAGGGCAGAGGCAATAAAGGTGTCACAGGACAGGACAAGGTTCAAATCTGTTGTTCATAGAGTAGCTGTGAGTTGTAGTTGACTTGATGCACCTGACAACAACAACAATAAAGATACTTTGACAAAATTGTCTTAGATGACTGACAGAATTTCTGACTTAACAGTTAAGACTGTGTGAGCAGCAAAAGAAAGTTTACTTAGTAACGGTTACTATGTGGAGTATTATGTCTGATAAATGCAGAATAAGCATTCCCCTGATGTGTAACACAATCATCACTCCAGGGGTCCATATGCTGCCTGCACAGTCCACGTCCACAGATTGCAGAGCATTTCCATCCTATGGAGTATACACTTTACTCTGAGGTATTGAGCTAGCCGGTAATACCAAAGAGCTAGCAAAAATTCCCCAAGAGCCTGAAACACAGATGTCACATGTTCCAAACATCCTTTCTGAGCCTCCATATCTGTATTCCATGTGTAACTTTTACAAATCATAACTGATAAATCCACAAGCATGCCCCCCGGCCCGTGAGGTCCCAGTCTCTTTCCTCCCACTCCATGTAACTTCAAGGTGCCTCAGGCAGCCTGGCGATCTCCTGCGGAGCCTCTGGGAGGTCTGGGGAGCATCCTTCTTCCTGGGTGTGAGAATGCGTATTTGTGTGTGTGTACATGTGATCACATGTGAGTGTGAGAGTGTGCATACATGTTCACACATGTGTGTACCATGCATGATAGCATGTGTGTGCACATGTGTGAGCTTGTGTGCAGATGCACGTGTGGGCGGGTGTGAGTGTGGAAGTACTAATATGTGACAGAGTGTGAGTGTGGGCTTGAGGATGCCTGCACTTCTGTGAGGGACGTGTGTGTGCATGCATATGTGTGAGTGTATGCACATGAATAAGTGTGTGTGAGGGGATGCATTCATGGAAGTATGTTGTGTGTTTGTGTGTGCAGGCTTGTGTGGGTGTGTGTGCATGTGTGAATGTACCGGAAAATGTGTGTGACTGTGTATGTGTGTAGGTGCATGTGTGAGCTCTGCAGGCATGTATATGTGAACATGTGTGTAGTGTGCATGGTGTGTGTGTGTGTGTGTGACTGAGTGTGTATATATGAACATGGGGGTTCAGACACCATGTCACTCCCTGAGCCCTAAGACCCCTTCCCGATATTGCATGGTGGCCCCTCTTCTCTTGGGCTCTTCCCTCAGCACCACGTTCCTCACTTGGCACCTAGGAAATTCCTGGTTCAGCACCTCCCAGTGAACTGTGAGGGGTGGGCAGGTGTGCCAGCTGGTGGGACCCTGCCACCGAGAGGGGCTCTGGAGAGAACCAATGGGGAGGCCAGCAGGCAAAGGCTGGAGGCATGGGGAGTGGGGCCCGTGTCCTTTAAGAACCTGATAAGGAAGCAACAGGAAGGACTTCGAAGTCCTGTCCGGGACTCTCACACTCAGCTGAATGCCGACTTTCTTCCTAGAAAAACAAACAGGTGCCAACAGAAAGGTGTGGGCAAGAGGGCTGAGTAGCTGACAGCCTGCCCACTTCTTTGATGTCTATATATAAGGAGCGTTCAGGACGCCCGTGACCCTGTCCTCCCAAGGCTGCGCTCCACTTGCCACCATGTCCTCGCTCCTGTTCCAGTTCGGGGCTGGCCCTGTTTCCCTGTTCCTGGTTCTCTGTCTGCAGCTGGGAGCCATCAATTCACAGGAAAGCACGTGAGCCATATTTCCCCTCCCCCCAACACCCAGTGGGGGTCGTCTCCTGCCTGCAGACCCTCGTCCCTCCCAGAAAACCTTCCCAAGCTCCAGTCTAGAAAGCTCAGTGGGAGCCTCGTCTGACCCCCTTCCATCCTTCAGAACTCATCACGACCCTCTCATCCCCATGGGGCTCTTTGGGAACGAGGTCCTCGGAATGTATATAGGCTGCGGTAACAGGGGTCCTGTCTTGTCTGAAACCTGCCCCATTGTTCAGATGTCTATTCCCTTGTACAAACACCCTTTTCTCACACTGGCTCCTGGGAGAGAATGTTGAGCTCTGCCAATAGCTCACAGTCCTGCTGGGATTCCGTCAGGGACTTGCACTGCTGGTTACATGAGGCTCATAGGCCAGCAGGGTCCAGGTCCACGTCCTTCCTGTCCTGAAGCCTGAGTGAATGTGAGCACATGGGCCTGGGGAGGGAGGGAAAGAACAGGGAAGGAGCAGCAAAGTTGGGAAACTAGAACTTCTTGGGGTATGTGGCCAGGTGATAAGAGTAGTCACCAAGTCCTATCGATTTCTCTAGAGGAGCAGAGCATCAGGTGCGTGTTTCTGGATGGGGAAGTTGACAGTGTCCAGAGGGAACCATGTGGGACTTTGACCAGCCAGGAGATGGGGCGGGTGGTAGCCCAGGTCCGCTCTCATGGTATGAGAGGCAGCGTGATGCTGAGAACAAGCTGTGCTGATGAGGGGACTAGCTGTATCATCTGCTAGGACTTACACAATCTTAGCAAGAAAAGGTATCATTCAGGAAAACAGTCAATTCCCAGCAAAGCAGGAGGTAGCTCACCCCAGCTAAGCTGGCCATCCTATTAGTCCGACATCCCTCCATCCTAAGGAGGCATGCTGGAGGTACCCTGTCCTGCAGTCCAGTCTTTTTCCTAGAGCAATGGCAGGAGAAATGGAGTCTGCTGGGCTTGGGATGAGGTGTATTTACAGCTGAGAGATCTGTAACTCAAGGAACTGAACCATCTCATCTCTTCCAATACCAAAGGATGTGGGAGGTTCTTGGAGGAAAGTAGCTTTGCTGGTCTGACTTCAGCACCCTTCGATGATGAGTCTCATCCTCCATCACCTCCTTGGCTCTCGTCTCTTCCCCAGGGCAGTGGTACAGGGTCTGAACCGGGGAAGCAGGGGTGTTGCAAAAAGAGCTCTCATATCTGTGAGTAAGTTCTCTCCAGGGCTAAATACATACAAACCCCTGCATCCACGTTGATGCCAAAGACGGGGAGGCTGGCTCTTCCTTCTAACACAGAGCCTTCAACTCATTATTTACCAAAGTTATCAAAGACCATTCTATTGCTAATAGAGCTTTCTCCTCCTAGTGTGACCCAAGCTCTCCCACTTGGCAGATCCACATCACAACATGTAGGGTTTTAGCTGGAAATTAGGAGGCATCCTATTTCTCTTTTTGGAAGAACATGCTTAATTTTACATTTAAAAATCCCAACTTGTTTTGTCGTTATTAACAGTGTCACTGAGACGCCTGCAACTCATAGCAAACCTGTGTTTACTGGCGCTCTGCCCTGCCCTGCCCTGCTCTGTCCTCACTGTCCAACCATTGTTACAGCCACGGTGTCAATTTCTCTTGTTGAAGGTCTTCTGAGCTTTTCCTGGTCTCCCACTTTTCCCATAACTGAGATCTTTTTCCGATGGACTGATGCCTCCCGACAACACACCCAAAGTATCTGAGAGGAAATGTCCCCGGGTTGCCTCTAAGGAGCACCCTGGTTGCACCTCCTTTCAGACATACGTGTTTGTTCTTTCAGCGGTCCATGAGCTACTTGGTGCTCCTCTCCGACACTACAGTTCACGGCATCAATTCTTCTTCCGTTTTCCTTATTATTTGCTCACTTTCTCATGAATGTAAAGCAAGTGAAACATACTACGGCTTGGGTCAGGCAAACGTTAGTGTCTAAACAAGCACACTGCTCTGTAGCACGTTAAAGAGGCCCTTGCAGGCAGTCTTGCCTGGTGTAATATGTCTCTTGACTTCTTGATCTCTGCTGTCATGGGTGTTGCTTGTAAATCCAAGTAAAATGAAGCAGATTATTACACTCTACTTTCCCACCTATCCTGATAGTCCTCATTGTCCCACTGGTGAGGATTTTCATTTTCCTCAAGTTGAGGCATAGACCGTATGGAAGACTGGTCTCTCCTTTTTTTTCAGTGAGGAATTTAAGCTCTGTTCTGTCATCTACATAATGTAAACTTGATGAGTTTCCCTCCAGTCCTGATGCTATGCTCCTATTCATATAGTGCAACTTCTCAAATTCTTTGCTCAGCATACAGGCTGAATAGATATAAAGAAAACACACCACCCAGACGCACACTTTTCCTGATTTAAAACCACGTACATCCCCTTGCTCTGTTCCAATGATCACTTCTTGGTCCATGTATAGGTTTCACATGACCACAATTAATTGTTCTGAAATTCTGATCCTTACCAATGCTATCCATATTTTTTTATGCATAACTTGTTTAATTAAATGGAGCTAAATGCTTCAAAACAATCGACAGACATGTCCAAGAGATTCTGATGCCGACTCCAGTACCTTCCTCGGCATTCCCTATGCCTTCCCAGCCCTCCGTCCTCAACCTCGTGCTCTCTCTCCTGTGGACACTCAGATGACAGTGACCTGCTTCTCTCTCTTCCCTTAGCAGCTGGAGTGTGATGAATATGAGTCTGCAGTTGCAGAAGCGAGCTAAAGTGAACGAGGAGGTCCCCTTGACCCTGCGGCTGAGTACGGACGTGAAAGAGTGTATGGTGGTAAGTAGAACCCCTGAGCGGTACACACAGTGACTGGGCCCAGCTACTACATAGAGGCTGGAGGTTTAAACCCACCTAGCGATGTTTCAGAGGAAATTCATGGTGCCTGGCTTCCAAAAACACCACGAAAACTCTACAGGGCACAGGTCTCTGATACACACAGAAGCACATGACTCATTGACTCCGTCACAACTGGTAAAAGTGTGGCGTTACGTAGAGGTCCAGGGCAGTAAACGTAAGAAAGGTGTGGTTCCCTGAGTATGAATATCTCACTTTTCTGTTGCACTGTATAACTGATAAACCTCACCCATGGCACACCAGCTGAGTTTAAGAAATGCACGAGCTCAGGCAGGTGGCCATTCTCACTGCACAAATAAACTGAGATGCAGAGAGGAGGAGAAAGAGGTGTCAGGAGTAATGAAGGAAAAACAAAGAGATTGGAGTGTAGGCGCTGAGGGGGCTGGTCAGTCCCTCCAAGTTCCAGGACAAGAGGGTTGGGAGGAAGTGGGAGGGGCTTCTCAGAAGTTGCTCTTTAGAACAGGCTGAGGCAGGTGGGGAGAAGGGCCACGTCATGGAGACGCTGAGGACGTGGTACGGTTGCTCCTCTCCACATTCAGACCACAGCAGGTACATCTACATTGTGTCTCCCTCTGTTCTACTCTCTGAATCTGGTCCTGACTTTCCTTCCTAACAAAACCACACTCCTTCCTGCTTCTCCCCAGACCAGAAGTTGTGAAAGGGTAAAGAAGGAGTACTTATGCAAGTCCCAAGGAGCTCTGATGATTCAGTGCTTAACGAGCATAGTTAGAAGCTGAAAGGTGGGGAGCTCTGGTGGCCTAGTGGCAAGGAGCTGCAACTACAATCCCAGAGGCACACGGTTCAAATCCACCAGATGCTCTGCCGGGAAGGGGAGGGACAATCTCCTCCTGTACCAGTCAGATCTGATTTGACGGTACACTCACACAAAAATTTAAAAAAAAAAAAAAAAGAAGCTGAAAGGTCAGCGGTTTGAAACTACCAGCTGCTCTATGGGAGTCTGCTTTGAGAAAAACTTACAGCCTTAGAAACTCTGGGGCTCAAAACCACTTGTTCTTGTTGTTATGTGCCGTCTAGTCGTTTGCGACTCATAGCGACCCTATGTACAACAGCCCTAAACCGTGCTCTATCCTGTGCCAATCTCATTGCCCTCGACACACCCATCCCGAGTACCCCAGTCACTGAATCAATCCACCTCATAGAGGGTCTTCCCCTCCTGCACTGTCCCTCCACTCTACCCAGCATGATGTCCTTCTCCAAAGACCTGTCTCTCCTTACAACATGTCCAAAGTATGTCAGGCGAAGCCCCAGAATCTTTTCCTCTAAGGAGCAGCCTGGTTTAACCCTCTCTAGGATGAATCTGTTTGTTTTCATGGCAGTCCATGGTACATTCAATACTCTTCTCCAGCACCACAGCTCAAAGGCATCAATTCTCCTTCTATCCCAAAACCACTTAGAGCAGAATTAATTGGAGCTGGAATTAACTCAGTGACAGTGTTTTGATTTGGGGAGTGGAATCCCCACATATCTTCCTTCCCTTCCTCCATGAGGGACCCCCTTTCAGGTGACACAAAGATTTCCATGGTAATAGTCTGTGATTCAAATAAGGGGCCAGGAGATACTAAGTAGAAAAGAAAGGTATGTTACATGTGGTTGCAAACATAATGGTGAAGTTACCAAGGCAAAGACAGGCTTCTCTCAAAAAACACCAGAATCTTCTAAGGCATTTGAGTTACATTCCAATTCACATGTGAAAACGTGAATTAACAGCCACGGACAGTGTTGCCAATTAAAATTCATTTTAGAGATGGTCTGTCTCGTGTGTGTGTGTGTGTGTGTGTGTGTGTGTGTGTGTGTGTGAGTGAGAGAGAGAGAGAGCGCAAGCGCGTGAGTGAGCGAACAGGGCACTGAGCAGAGAACCACACAACAACTCTGAAAAACCTTTCTCCTCTTCTTCTGGAACCCAAGCCCTGAGTGCTCATTGGGGAACTGACCTGGGGGACGGAAGGAAAGAGCATGGGTACATAGAGCTTTATGCCAAGGTCGTTTGAGATAGGTGATCAAAATGTGAAAAAATGCTAAGCTGAGAAGCTGCTCTGGAAATGACAAAAAATGGCACATGAGATGATTTTCTACACCTGAAATTGATAAAACTAAGTTTGTAAGAATAATGTCAGCACAATAAATAAATAAAATAAAGCACTCTTTCCAAATGCCACCCAAGGATCAGAAAAACTGCAATGAACACAAAAATACTGCAAACAAGTGGGAATTTATAGGAAAGAAATATTGTAAGTTCTGATCAATGGGTTTTTATTTGGAGATTGCAACAAAAATATATAGATATAAAAATGCTTTCATACGTTGAGTTTTTAAAAATATGTAATTTTTATAGAATAAAAAGTTCTACCATTTATTTAATCCTTAGTTTCCATTAATTGCAATGTTTTGTAGTTAATTTTTTATAAAGTGAGAGTGTAGAATCACAATTACAAAATCAAAATGTGCCACAGCCCCAATAACATGGAGAGGAGCCCTGATGGCATCAATTGGCCTGTACAGTTTCACCCACTTGGAAACCCAACGCACAGTGAGCTGCCGTTGATTCAGTGACAGTGGGACTCTTCTTGCTTTTAGAGACTCAACTGCGTATTTGAATACTAGATGATAACGTTCTTTTAGGCTGAGGTAAAGCTTGGAGAATGCGCAGGAATGAAGCCATTTCCTTCCACGGACCACCTTGCTCATCCCATGACATCTACAGGAACTTTCTGAAAATTACTTTTAACTGAACAAATAAAATGTGTTGGATGACAAAGGAAAACTACAATATTTATTAAAAGTGATCACATTATTAAATAATAATAATAATTGACAATGGCTAGAGAAGATAGAAGGAGAATTGATGCCTTTAAGTGTGGTGTTGGAGAAGAGTGTTGAATATAGCATGGACTGCTAAGAAAATTAACAGGTTCATCCTGGAGAGGGTTAAAACAGGCTGCTCCCTGGAGGCAAGGATTCTGAAGCTTCATCTGACATACTTTGGACATGTTGCAAGGAGGGACCAGTCCTTGGGGAAGGTCATCATGCTTGGGAGGGTAGAGGGACAGTGCAGAAGAGAAAGACCCTCTAAGAGGTAGAATGATTCAGTGACTAGAGTAATCAGGGTGGTTATGTCAGAGACAATGAGCTTGGCACAGGATAGAGCAGGATTTAGGGCTGTTGTACATAGGGTTGCTATGAGTTGCAGGTGACTTGACGGCACATAAAACAACAAACAACATTATTAAAACCAAATCACTGCTACCAAGACATATGTGATTTTTTATTAAAACACCACCTGTAAGATGACTACAGGAAAGTCATGTTTTGGGGGGAAGACTTCTGTGTGATGGTCATCACTGCTGCCTGTGAGCACATGACTCCCATGGATAACATACCACCTATGTCACATGTTTGCATTTGTTTCTATTCTACATGTGTTGAAATCACTATTCATGAAGATATGCTGTTGCAAATGTAATGGAAAGGTAAAGGCGACAAAGATAGGCTTCTCCCAAGTAACACCCAACACTGGGATCTTCCAAAGCATTTGAGTAGCATCCCAACTGTTGGAACAAGTCAACTCACAGCCAGGGTAGACTGGCCTGTTCCCTGATTGAGAGCTAGGACTCAGCTGGAGAGATAGAGAGGGAAACAGGTAGACAGTCTCAGCTGTGCAGCACGCAGCCCCTCCGATTAACCACCACACATTCCAGGCAGTGGCGACTGCTGGCCAGATCTCCAGATACCTACATCTGTGATGTGACAGCAAACATGATTCTCCTGGGAACCACGTCACATGTCCTCCAAAGCTACTGTGGTCTTTTGAAGACATTCTGATTGGAAAGACTGATCATACCAAGAAGAGACAAGTAAAGTATAGATGCAATGTTGTGTCTCCTGTTAGAGCTTCTCTTCACAGACCCCTCAGGTTCCTTGGGCTCCAGAAGAAAACTCCTGTGCTGAACACACCGCAGACCACAGCTTCCTGACCACAGAGCCCCTGAGACAATCCTCTTGATCTGAAATTGCAGTGAGCCGTCACCAGTCAGCTCCAGATTCCATCTGTTTCTCCAAACCCAGGGTGGGTAGGTGGTTGGTGCATCTTGCAGGTGAGGAAAGTGAGCTGGTCAGATGTCACGTTAACCACCAGGCTCACAGGCTGTGAAGAGCCCTCTCCCTTGGGGGCTACAGGTTTTTGCTTCTACAAAGTAGTGGACAGCTTACAGCTCATCAGATAAAAGTCAGGGCCTATTAGCTCCTGCTGCACAACCAGCTCGTTCAGCTGCCTGGACAGATGTTCAGAGAAAGAGACAGGAGAAGTCATCCTGCCCTTGAAAGGAGACCCTTGGCAAAGTGTCTGGCTGTGTGTGTGGATGCAGGTCAAGGCAGAAATGTTAATGCAACAGACTGCCCACTGCACCTTTGCCTACATAGCACCTGCCTTTGCCTTCTGAGAGCCTGCACCTCTTCCCTTTCCCGGCTGGTCCCACTGGCCCATTCCCACCTCTGACCCTGAGGACTCCACTTTGTTCTCATCAGGTGAAAACATATCTCAGAAGCGACAAGCAACTGGAAGGTAGTTCTCACACTTATACCTACACATCCTGTCTGTGTGATGATTACCCAAGAACTTTGTTCTGGGACATTCGCAGCAACAGTAAGTATAGAAACTGACCAGGGGAGAGGGCTTTCCAACAGGAAGAACAACTACAAAACTCAGCGTGCATGGGGCTGGAGAGCAGCAAAGCGTAGTGAGTGTACACAAAAGGAAACTACAAGAGCAGTGTACACGAGGAGGAGGCTACAGGGTCCGTAGAGGGGTCAGTGTCCATGCCCAGTGGAGCTACAAGCATTCATGGGCAAGAAAACTGCAGCAGAAGGAGAAGGAAGTTAGGAGTGGAGAAGGAGAGGAGAGTGGGGGGACTGGGGAGGACCTGCACCCTGATTCTAAAAGGAAGGAGTTTTAGGGGGAAACCAAGAAGGCAGTTGCCCAGTGGGGAGTTAAGACCAGGTCAGAATGTGAGGAGGGGTTATTCAGAGCTCCTCTTTGTTCTCTTCCAGCCACGGTGACCATTTGGGCAGTAGCTGACATTATTCGGCAGACAGGTATCTGCCCTGAAGACAGGGCTGTCATACCAATCAAGGCGAACCGTTTTTACATTTCTGAGACCTTGTGGATAACATCTTAAGAGACATCTTGACTCCTCCCCTGTGAGAAGGAGAAAATAAACTTCAAGCATCTCTCTGTCCTGTGTGTCCTTGTGCTTGGAGCTCCAGAGCACCCAACATTTTTAATGTCTTTATTGGGAAGTTTTGAGACCTTGACTCTATCTACCACATCGACAGTTATTGGGTTTGTGTTCCATTGAGCCAGAAATGACTCATAGCTAAACATGCAGTGGGTTTTCAGAGGCAATAAATCTCACAGGAGGGTGTTGTCCATCTTTTTCCCATAGAGCAGCTGTGGATTCAAACCACATCCTTTGTGTTGGCAGTGTAACTCTTGGTTGTTGTTATGTGCCATCAAGTAGACTATGACTCAGAGTGACCCCATACACCATAGCTCTGAACCCTGCTCTATCCTGAGCCAACCTCATTGCCCCACTTATTGCATCAATCCATCTAATTCAGGGTCTTGCTCTCTGTGCTGCCCCTCCACCCTTCCAAGTATGATATCCTTATCCAAAGACTGGTCTTTCCTGGATACATGCCCAAATCTGTGAGACAGAATCTCAAAAATCCTTGCCTCCAAGGAGCAGCTTGGTTTCACCCTCTCCAGGTCAAACCTGTTCATTCTCCTGGTAGTCCATAGTATGTTCAATATTCTTCTCCAGCACCACAAATCAAAGGCATCAATTATTCTTCTTCTATCATCCTTGGTCATTGTCCAGCTCTCTGATGCAAGTAATTGCAAAGATCATAGATCAGGCGCACCTTAGTCTCTACACTGACATTGCTGCTTCTCAGTACTCTGGAGAGGTCCCTGACAGCAAATTTTCCCAGTGCAATTCATCTTCTGATTTCCTGACTGCTGATGTTAAGAGTGTTGATTGTGGAATGGAACAAGTTGAAATTGTTGAACTTCAATCCATATTGCAAACTACAGTCCTTGATCCTCTGCAGCAAATGCTTCAGGCCCTCCAGTTTCAGTAAGGTTGTATCATCTGCATAACACAAGCTGTTGGTGAGTCTTCCTTCATTCTTGATGCCACATTCCTCTTCAAAAAAATCCAGTCTCTCAAATGATCTGTTCTGCATATAGATTGAAAAGGTATGAAGACAGGACACATCTCTGATGCACTCCTTTTCTGATTTTGAACCATGCAGTGCTTCCTTGCTCTGTTCTGACAACTGCCTCCGGGCCCAAGTATAGGTTTTGCATGAACACAATCAATTTAGATGAGGTGATCAAATATAAGATCATAGGAATTGATTGAATATCAACTGACATGTTTCAGTAAAAAAAATAATTTCTTGAATGTTCTCACAAGTCTGTACCAAGAAATTCAGAAAACAGTTACCTGGCCAACGTACTGGGAGAGATCTTTATTTGTTCCAATTCTCAAAGAACAAATGTGGAATTATCAAATAATATCGTCAATATTACATTCAAGTAAAATATTGCTAAAGATTATTCAAAAAGGCTAGAACAGCTTATTGGCAGGTGATTGCCAAAAATTCAAGTTGGATTCAGAAGAGGCCATGGCATCTTTCCTGATGTAAAAGATAGGTCTTGGATGAAAGAAGAGAATACTATAGAGAGGGACGTTTGACTGTGTGGACCATAGTAAATGGCTACATTGGGAGGAATGGGTTTCTAGAACACTTAATTGTTCTCATGCAAAATCTATACATAAATGAAGAAGCTGTTGTCCAAACAGAACAAGGGGAAACTGCATGCTTTAAAATCAGGAAAAGTCTGTGTCTATTCAATCTGTATTGTGAGAAATTCACTCAGGAAGCTGGGTTATTAGAAGAAGAACGTGACATCAGGATTGGAGGGCGTCATAAAAAACCTGCATTATGCAGATAACAAAACTTAGCTTGCGAAAAGTAAAGTAGGCTTGAAACACTCGTTACAACAGGTCAAATACTATAAACTTCAATATGGATTACATCTCTACATCAAAAAAATAAAAATCCTCATCAATGGACCCACAGGCAACATTATAATAGATGAATAAAAAAACTGAAGTTGTCAATGATTTTATTTTACTGAGATCCACAATCAGCTCTCATAGTAGCAGCAGTCAGGAAGCCAAAGAACATGTTCCAATGAGGTCAAGGACCTCTCAAAAGAGCTAAACAGTAAAGGTGTCAGTTAAAAGACTAAGATGTGCCTGATCCAAGCCATGATCTTTTCAATTACTTGCTATATATATCTGGAAGTTGGACTATGAATAACATAAGAAGAATCATCTATGAGTTGTGATGTTGACACAGAATACTGACTTTCCTATGGACTGCCAAAAGAACAAACAAGTCTGTCTTGGAGAATGCACAACTAAGGTACCTGTCAGAGGCAAGGATCATGAAACTTGTTCTTACACCTTGGGCACGTTGTTAGAAGAAACCACTCTTTAGAAGAGATCATGCGGAGAAAAGTGGAGTCAGGGAAAGAGAGGAAGATCCTCAACAAAACAGATTGACAAAATGACTATAGCAATAGACTTGAGCTTGTCAGAGATGGTGAGGATAGCACAGGATACATCATGGTCCAGTTCTGTTCTTCAAATGGTCACTATGAGTTATAGTCAACTTGATAACACCTAACAACAACAACATTATTTCAAATTATAACACTCTTTTTTAAAAAATTGTCCATGAGAGTGATCTCATGGAATATAGAAAAATTATGTGCCTTTGAGATGGTTCTGACACATTTGCTGTTCTTCTTGTTATGTGCCATCAAGCAAGCAACTCTGTGTATAACAGCCCTAATTGTCTCTGACAAACCTACTCGCATTACCCCAGTAACTGAATCAATCCATCTTATTAACAGTCTTCCTCTCTTGAATTGTCCCTTGACCTTCCCAAGCATGACATTCATCTCTTCTCCAAGGACTGGACCCTCCTTGCAACATGTCCAAAGTATGACAGACAAAGCTTTAGAATCCATGCCTCCAAGGAGAATCCTGGTCTCACCCTCTCTAGGAAAAACCTGTTTGTTCTATTAGCAGTCCATAGTATATTCAATACTCTTCTCAAGCACCACAGCTCAAAGGCATCAATTCTTCTATCATCCTTAGTCATTGTCTAGCTTTCTGATCCATAGCAAGTAATTGCAAAGACTATGGCCTGGATCAGGTGCACCTTAGACTCTAGACTGACATAATTGCTCCTCAGTACTGTGCCAGCAGATTTTCCCAGTGCAATTAGTCTTTTAATTTCCTGGCTGATGGCGCCAAGAGTATGAATTGTGGAGCCAAGCAAATTAAAGCTGTTAAGGATCTCAATGTCTTCCCCATCTATCTTGATGCTGTCAATCAGCCAAGTGGTGAGAATCTTTGTCTTCTTGATGGTGAGCTTCAATCCATATTGAAGGCTCCAGTCCTCAAACCTTCTGCAGCAAGAGCTTCAGGTCCTCCTCAGTTTCAGCAAGCAGAGTTGTGTCATCTACATAACACAGATTATTGATGAGTCTTCTTTCAATCCTGATGCCACATTTATCCTCATAGAGCCCAGCCTCCTGGATAATTTGTTCTACATAAAGATTGAAAAGGTATGGACGGACACCTTTCCCAATTTTGAACCATGTAATGTTTCCTTGCTCTGCTCCAACAACTGCCTCTTGGTCCAAGTATAGATTTCACATAAGCATGATCAAGTGTTCTGGGATTCCCATTCTTCTCAGAGTTAGACACAGTTTTATGTGATCCACACAGTCAAATGCCTTTGCATAGTCAATGAAACACAGATAGACATTCCTTTGTCAACCCTGTCTATATTGAGAGAGGGAAATCTTATGTGATCCTGCTCTATCTTCACAATTTCCCCTGTGCTAAACCCTTTTAGGCAGTATATGAGTCAATTGGTCCTATTGAGGGATTTTCTTTCCTTCACTAACCCTCTATTTCACTGTCTGATGTCCTCCTGACAACATACCTAAAGTATATGATAAGAATTCTCATTATCCTTGCTTTTAAGGAGAAATCAGACCGTACTTGCTCAAAGAATATTTGTTCTTTTGGCAGTCCATGGGATAATCAATACTCTTCACCAACACCACAATACTCTTCATCATCCTCATTCATTGTCCAGATTTTATTTACATATTAAGTCATTGAAAAGACCATGTCTTGGAAAGACTTTCCACAGAGGAAGATTTGAATGGCCAACAGACACACAAAGAAATGCTCAAAGTCACTGGCAATAAAAGGGATTAAAAAATAAAAAGCGCCAAAACAAAAAAAAAACCAAACAAACCACAATGAGATACCATCTTATCCTGGTAGCAGTGGCAAATGTTAAAAGGAATGTAAGTAATAAATGTTAGAGAGGATGTGGAGAGAGAGGAACTCTTATACATTGTTAGTGTTATTATAAAATTGTACAACCACTTTGCAAGACAGCTTGGTGTTTCCTCAAAAAGCTGAATGTAAACATTGTTTATGACTCAGCTATTCCACTGCTTGGAGTATACCCCAATAACATAAGAATATACCCCAAGAACTGAGGCAAAAATGGAGATTTGTACACTACTGCTCATAGCAGCATTATTCATTATTGCAAAAACATGAAAACCACCCAAATATCCAACTGCAATCAAATAGATTGAGAAATTATGGTACTTTTTTTTGCTTCTAATTTTTTCAATTAATTTTAATGAAAGTTTCAGAGTCTTTGAATTTCCATTCACTCATTGTTGCATACTTCTCCCCTGCACACCTCTCCCCCTCTGTTCACTTTTTGCTTTGAAAAGTAAAAAAAAAAAAAATTAAAATAGAAATTCTTTCATTGTTATAAAATCTCCCCACCCCAGTCCACTCCACTGCATAGCATTCATTCTGGACACTTGTCTTAACAATAATACCTAATCATATATCCCTTTTAGTCATATATCCCTTGTCTGTTTTAATGCAGTATACATTATTTATCCCATCTTTTTTTAGTTTCCCCCCCCAACCTCAATGTATCTTGTAGACAGCATACTGATTGACTTTTTTTTTCCAATCTGTTACTCTTTTTC